CTAAAAAGTTTTAAAAAGTGAATAAAAATGTGAATGAAAAAAGCACGAATTTATTGATTGAACAAATTTTAAATTTGAGAAAAAAAGGCGCATTTCTTATTCTGAACTGCGTAGAGTCTAGGCTAGATCTCAACCGCTGGTTCAACCGCTCCCGCTGAGTTTTTTTCTCCAAAGTATATATCATTCCTAATAATAGTTAATTATAAATATCTTTAATTATTAAATTATTTAAAAACTGTTTATTTTCAAAATATAACTTATTTTGTATTTTAAACATTTGACGGATTGATACGTTTTCGCTACTTCCCCAGGAGGCAGGAATCCCTGAGATGGAATCTAGGAACCGGTTTGACGGAGAGAGAAGGTCGTCTTTGAATCAACAAAAAAACAATAATTTCTTGCTAATTCTAAAATTAAAAGTTTACATATTTTATTGTATAATGGCTGACTCATGATGTCATTAAAATATGATAATTTTAGATTTTATTGAACTGTTGCTTTTGAAAAAAAAACGTTTGAATGGTGTCTTTGAAAAGGTATCATACCTTTGCGCTGGAATTCTAAGCGATAAATCGGCTATAGCTATCTTTGAAAAGTAAAACTGCATGATGTCAATGAATAGCTACACTAGGTTATTTACCCAAATAAGTGAACGGTCCCTTTAAAGTCCTTATTATAACTATAACCATTAAAGTCTTAATAACTATGAATATTAAAATCTTTAACATAACTAAAACTATTAAAGTCTTTAAATTTAACCATTAAAGTATCTAAGCCTATTAAAGTCTTTAACTATAACTAATAAAATCTTTGGCATGTTTAAAAAGTTAACTAAAACCTGAATTTTGCATTTTTTTACACAATTATTACCCAAAGCGCATTATTCTAGAAAAAAAAACTTTACAAAGAAGTTTATATGATTGATTCATGATCGATAGCTGTTCCCTGCTATATCTGCAAGTTGGCATGAATGACAAATGTTGACTAACAAAAGCAAAAGGATAAAACAAAAAATTCAGAACGATAATGAAAATGGTTTTTAAACTCGATCATGTTTAGAAATAAATCTGGCACAAATTACAAACTCCTTTTTGTAAGCAGGCAAATCTGCCCCTTTAGTAAAAGTAAATTCAAGTTATATAACCACGCCAACCTTGTTGCACCGGCTAGTCCTGTCCATAGGTACAGTACAAACTGGGACTGGAAAGGTTGACCCGGCTCGGAAATTCAAATATACTACGGCTGCCCGTGTAAGGGACTGTTCGCGTAATTTCAAGTGACCCTCTGGGGCAAAGAGGGCCATGTCCACTTACAGCGTTACCCTTTAAACATTTGACTGTTCATCGCGGAGGCGTACATTGGGATCTCAACACAGCTAATGTTTTATTTTAAAAATTTGAAAATAAAAAATTTATTTGTTCTGCGACCTCTAGATGTAAATATCAATATTTGTTAAATATCAACTTGTAAACAAAGTTTTTAACAATTACTAACGTTTTAAAGGATAAGCCTGGCGTCATTGATCAATCTAAGGTTTAATGGATATAATGGTGAATCGAACACACCGCACTCCTATATGCCGAGTCCATTAGCGCCTTATCCAATCAGGGTTCAGTCATGTGTTTGTTGTCTATTCTGAACAAATAGAAATAGAATAGCGGCAACATCTATCTCATTATCCAATTAGATTTTAAAATCCTTTAATCAGCGCATCAGTAAATGGAAATATTTACTTCTACTGAAACTATAATGAACACTCTATACATATGGCAGGTAACTTGATATTAAGCCTACAGTCCCTTTAATTCAATGCAAGATGGGAATCATTTCAGTTTTTTTTCTTTTTCTCTGTATTTCACTTTTCTGTCAATTTCTAAAAAAGGTAATAATTATTTAATATATTTGACTGGAGGAATCGCTTAACTATATATATAACAATAATAACACAAATACCTGGATACGGGCTGATGTTAAATAAAAATGAACTATATCTACACAGAAACAGAAATTTAGTGGGTAGAGGGGGGGGGGGCAGGGGCTGGAGGTTGGAGCCGGGGATGATTATTGCTCGGATTCATACCAAAGTATTTCAATTAAATTATTTTTTTAACTTGTGCTAAAATAATTAAATAAAAACTATAATAAATGAAAGTTAGAATAAATGTTCACATTTTGGGGGGAATAAAATAACGTTTTATATGCACTAAATTTTGAAAATAAATTATTTCTATTTCTAAAATGTTAGAATGTATTTTTGTTTAATATTCAGAAAGGAGCCTGGGGAGTTTACTGGTCAACTGAATCCATGTTGAGAGGGGGGAGGGATCCCCCCCGGGGGGGGCACGTGGTCAGAATATTAATTTATGTCATTGCAGTACACTGACAATCATATGTAAACAAACCGTTAAACAATGGCTTTACGCATTTATTTTGTATCACATAAAACTAACTGGCGATAGGAAGAAGGGCAATAAATGGTATTTTTCTTATTAAAAACAGAAGGAGGGGGGGGGGGGTTGAGGGGCACATATCTATTAATTTACGTATTTGATGAAAACGCATATAACAATCGTCCATGATTTTCCATTGGAATTTATTCATTTGGCTTTTTCACAGCATTCACTCCAGATTCTCCTGTTTCATCATTGTTTGTGTTTCCTGCTCATCATGCTCTTCATGTTCATCCTGTTCTTCCTGTTCTTCCTGCTCTTCCTGTTCTTCCTGCTCTTCCTGTTTCACGTAGTTTGAATGTATACTGGTGTGCATCGTTGAGTGCATTGAAGTTCCAAATCTGACCGCCAGGAGATTGTCTATACTAAAATTATTTCTAAGTTTGAATCCATTGGAGGTGGGAGAGGGTAGAGAGCGTAGATCTGTTTCTATAGAGGGGAGGGAGGAGAGGGAGGGGAGGGAGGAGAGAGAAGGAAGGGAGGAGAGTGAGGGAAGATCTATATCTCCAAGATCTTCATCATCTGAATCATCACCGACGACGTCAATCTCGTGCTCCTCGATGGGTTCGTTGTTTCCGCCGCGGCCGTTATTCCTCGCCGCCTCCCACTCCCGCCGAAGCTGAGATAATTCAACAAGGATACCCTTAGCTTCAAGCTTCTTCTGCTGTTTCTCCAACTAAAAGAAATCAAATTTAAAAAATTGGAATTAATCAATTTTTTTTACCAAAGCTGATATCATGTACCCTCCCTATTGAATGTCACCCCCCCCCCAGGTCCTCAAGGGACCAAATATGTTCCCTGGATCAAAGAAATGAAATGATGAACTGGTCAAAAACCAAATATTCTCGTCCTGTATCAATTCTCAATCTCAATCTGTGAATTCCCCTCAAATACATCTCCTTCATATAAAAGTAACTTTACAGAAATGTTCCCCGAAATATTTCCCCTTCTGCCCCCCCATGCTCCCCATTATTTGATGCTATTTTTCTTTTTAATCTTTTTTCTTTCTCTCTGAGTTTTCTGATCTCTAAATTGTTCACAACATGAGTGTCTATCTATCTATCTATCTACCTGTCTGACAAGTTTTCTTTCTCTCCTCTGCTGCTCCCGCTTTCTAATCTCCTCTGGAGGAATAGGTTCACCGGAACAGGTTTGCGGGTGCGCGTTGTGCGCCGGTCGACCTGGTCCCTTCTTTGTGTTATCAAGCTTTCGCCACTTGGCTCGCCGGTTTTGAAACCATACCTGGAATAATATATAATAATAATAATAATAATAATAATGAAAATAATGATAATATTAACAATAATAATTGTAATAATGAAATTATTTTCGCTGAAACAATATTAAATAGTTTTGTTACTATTAATAATTATTGAATAATAATATTCTTTTGTGGATAATAACCCAGAGGAAAACAATTATGGCGAATAATTAAGCAATTATGTCATTAATTATTTAATTAATGATTTGGTTTTTATACAAACAAAACAATAAATAGTTATAAATTTGTTTGAGCTAGAAATGTCAGACCTAACCATGCTGCTATTTTCAAACGCATCATTAAAAAAGCCACAAAGTAGTTTATTGAAAAATTCATATTATAAAAGAGAAATAAAAAAGAGTAACACCCCTTCCCCCCACCTAAAAATCTTTCACTNCCCCCCCCCCTCACATTAAGAGTTATTTAACTCTCAGTAAAAAGTCCAGTACTAATAACTCTTCGAATAAAAACTTTGTTATTACTTTTCCGAGTTGCCCGTGTTTCTCTTCCCCCGCTAGTATTGTGTTTTGTCTGGTTGTGAATTCAATGATTTGGTATAATTTGTAGAAATGACAGGTTACACGCCCACAACCAGGACTTGATTGTGAACGATGATCCTATATTGTTCCGACAAAACCACTTTTAATATACACTTCCAACACAGTCTTTTAATAATAATTCACAGCTTTTTATAAATATACAAATTTGAAATAATAAAACATATAAATACAAAATAATTATTTAAAGCTTACCGCTACTCTAGATTCCTTCAGATCTAAGCGCATAGCGAGTGCTTCGCGCATAAAAACGTCTGGATAGTGACAAGAGAGAAAAGCGCGTTCTAGCTCTTCCAGCTGCCATTGGGAGAAATTTGTCCGAGATCGTCTTCGTTTTGCTTCCTCGTCATCTTCTAGATATATTGATAGATAGATAGATAGATAGATAGATAGATAGATAGATAGATAGATAGATAGATAGATAGATAGATAGATAGACAGATAGATAGATAGATAGATAGATAGATAGATAGATATAGATAGATAGATAGATGAAACATGATATGATTTGAAGATTTCCTTATCTATATCTATATATGGATAGATAGACAGATAGATAGATTGTTATTTCATGGGGGATTACTATGCCCCAAGGTAAAGACCCCCACCCCCCTCCACCATCTCTCTATATTACCATCTTATTCCCCTCCCCTCCCTCTCTACATGGGGATTATGAAGCGTATCCCCCCCGCCACACTTCGCGGATTCTTATTGGATCAGTAGGATCACTATAGATCTAGGGATCATGGGAGCAATAAATATCTAAGGATCCAACATAAATTGATCCTCTCCTTAGGTTGTAGTAAAGACAGATTTTCTGTAACTGCTGTCTCTTGAATAATAATGAAGGCAAATACAGGAAATGTTCCTGGTCCAATTGTGTTAACAAATCTTTCTCATTTATTCATTTTAAACGTATTTATGACAGATTATAAATATTGAATTCAAAATGCAGTTTTGAACCAAGAATATTCCGTTTTTAATCATATTAAGATCTTCAAATAATTTATCTTATAATTATGAATAAAGCTTGACAAATAAATGGCGTTTCTCTCTCTCTCTCTCTCTCTCTCTCTCTCTCTCTCTCTCTCTCTCTCTCTCTCTCTCTCTCTCTCTCTCTCTCTCTCCCCCACCCCCCCCTCCCTCATCCTATAAGGTTTCATTTCTTCATTTATAAATTAATTTGTGGTATTTCGCTAAAATGAAAAATATATTTCCTATACCCTCCCGTTGATACCACAGCAGGGGGGGTTCCAATACAAACAATATCCAATATTTCTTATGAACAATAGTAATTGAAAGTAAAACAATTAGTCGTCTGTTGCTATATAAATAGAAAGGTAGAAGAATGAAATTTTTAAAAATGGTTTCTTGAAAAAAACTAACTGTTTATAATTATTGGGGATTGTAAGTTGCACAATTAGTCGACTGCTAATAAACAAATTAAAGGTAGAAGAATGAAATTTTATTAAAGAGTTTATTGAAAAAACTGACCCACAGCTGGGGATTGAAAGTAAGACAATTGTCGACTGTTAATAAATAAATAGAAAGGTAGAAGAATGAAATTTATTAAAGGGTTTTTTGAAAAAGAAACTAACTGTTTATAATTATTGGGGATTGTAAATTAAACAATCAGTCGACTGCTGATACATAAAAAGAAGAACAATAAAATATTTTTAAAGGGTTTATTGAAAAAAACTGACCCTCAGTTGGAGATTGAAAGTAAAAAATTAAAAATTATTCGACTGCAAATAAATAAATAGAAAGATTAAAAAACAAACTTTTCATTAAAGGGTGTCTGAATAAAAACTCACCGTCTATTGGGGACTCTGCTCCGTCGTCTCTGTTATTATGAAACCCCTGTAGAAAGCCTGGTGGGGAAAAATGTTGTTGATGGTGGCCCATGGGTAGCCCCAGGAGCTGGGGAAGGTGGGGCATTGGTAGTTTCCCTGTCAGAAAAGGTGGGAGGGGTAGAGGTGGTCGACCGGTCAGGCGGGCCAGCAGAGCAGCTGTTGCAACATTCTGGTCAGACAAGTGCAACGGTCGGGGAAACATTCTGAAAAAAAATTATTCAATTAAAAAAGAAAAGACTTTTGTTTATCTACAGTTCATTTTGAACTAAAATAAACTTTCTCTTGTAAAACAACCAACTTGTAGCTTTAAAACTTTTATATCTAGATATATGTATATAATTGTTAAAGCTAAACATTTTAACATTGACTTTGTCTTAATAGTTGATGCATATTTTTGTAACGGTGTAAATTTCGAATAAAAAAATTTGACTTATTCACTATTTCTTTAATTAATAATGCCGCCAAATTTTTTATTTTCAATTGTTTCCATTCTCAACATTTTCAAATATATTTTAGTTGCAACAATTACATATTGCCTAATTCTTAGCACCATTTATAATACAAAAATGTTGACAAAAAAGATAACCTTTCAGTGCTAAAATGGTTAGCACTGTACTATTTGTTATGATTATTTGAAATTTTTTCATTTTTTTCAATATGTAAACAATTTAGAAGATTATTATTGAAAAAAGAAAATACCTAAATAAAAGAAAATTTGTATCTTTTATTTATTTCTAATTTAAGAATTTTGCATCTTTAATACGATAACATTCTTCTGTATTGTAAGAAATTTATTTCTTCTTAATCATTCGGTCAAATAAACCTGTTTTAATTTAAATAGATATATTTATTTTGTCATGGCTGACTTGAAAATTTAAAGATTTTCTCCGATATGACTTTTTGTTTAATTGAATAGGTACTAAACACCTAAAATTTGGTATTTATGCAAAATTTTATCGTAAATGACATTTATTTGGTAATGATTATTTTGTTTTCTACATTTTAGTTTTTCTTTTGATGTCATTATTATCATTTTAATAAATTTAGCATATTTCCTCATTTTTAAATTCATAATTCTTATTTAAATATTTATTATTTTTTACCTAATGTCCAGCATATCCCAAGGTGAGGGTGCGGAGCCCCTGTACTGCGGGAAAATGACGACGATTTTAGGAAAAACTAATTTATTTAATCAGCACCCAGTATATTTTTTAATATGTTAATGATCACTAGAACGGTTGGGTTTGGCTGTTTTCTGCTATGGGTACCAGGATTAACTGGTTGGAATCAAACCCCGGCGCAACCATCCCGTGTCGCCACAGCGAAATCTGCCGCCACTGGGCCGTCTTGGCGGCAATTGGAGGGAAATTAATTCCCGTCTGTTTAGTGGCGGTGTAAATAGCGGGTGTAAGACAGAACTACATATATCACTGTAAACTAGGCTACACCACTTTGTTAGATAGAGCTTCATTAGTCAGATTACAAGCGTGGGTGTACACTGTACACTGTACAGTGTACAGTACATATGTACAGTGTATATAACATATCATGTATTTAGTAAGATAAATGGGTTGTATGGCACGACTTTGCGAGATTATACCAACTTCACGACAAATTAAAGTAAATTCTGCGCTGGCTAGATTAAAATGTAATATAATATTATTATTTCGCCTTTTTTGAGAATAATGAAAAATTTTAATTTCTCTTATGTAGCAAATTAAATTAGGTTTTATCATATTTTAGTGTAAAATCAAAGCTATTGGAGTATAGAGAGGTTACAATCTACTACCTCAGTAACTTCGCATCAATTTGACCATTTGATGGGCTTCATTATTATATAAGAATACTTTATCAACAGTTTTTATTTCCTAAAATAGAAAAAAGCCGACTTGAGTTGTTTGGTTTCCCTTGGGGGGTTCAAAATAATCATATAAGTACAGTGTACTGCAATATTTTCTTACAAAACTTGTGGTTTAAACGCGTAAGTACAGTGTACTGCAAGATTTTGGGGGTTTCAAAATAATCTTATTAGTTTTGCTTTTCAGAAGAAGTAGTTTAAAAAAAACAATGAAGATATTTGAAGTCATTTGAAGTAAACCTTTTTCTTACAAAACTTGTGGTTTAAACACGTAAGTACAGTGTACTGCAATATTTTCTTACAAAACTTGTGGTTTAAACACGTAAGTACAGTGTACTGCAATATTTTCTTACAAAACTTGTGGTTTAAACGCGTAAGTACAGTGTACTGCAACATTTTCCTACAAAACTTTTGGTTTAATCACGTAAGTACAGTGTACCCCAACATTTTCTTACAAAACTTGTGGTTTAAACACGTAAGTACAGTGTACTGCAACATTTTGGGGGTTTCAAAATAATCTTATTAGTTTTGCTTTTCAGAAGAAGTAGTTTAAAAAAAACAATGAAGATATTTGAAGTCATTTGAAGTAAACCTTTTTCTTACAAAACTTGTGGTTTAATCACGTAAGTACAGTGTACTGCAACATTTTCTTACAAAACTTGTGGTTTAATCACGTAAGTACAGTGTACCCCAACATTTGCTTACACATTAGATCTTTCAGACTTGACACATACATCTAATATGACACGGGTATGCAATATATTTCACAGATGGGTATTCTACAGTTTTTAATAATAACTGGAGAAGTTATGAGGTCTCAAAAGTGTATCACTACTTTTTTAAACAACATTATTTAACACTTCCTCCATAGACTCCCCCTCCGCCCCCTAATAAAAAATGAAAAAAGAATATTGTACCTTTCATTTTTCTGAACACTTCATTAAAAAACAATTACACATAAAAGTTTTAGACTTGTATATATAGTGATTATTTATATAGTGATTTGCTATTCTTTAAATTATTGAGCATATAAACTGTATACCAAGATATCAAACTGTAACTATTTATATTATTTATTATATTTTGTAAAATACATTTAAATTTTATACAGTGGTCGGTGTTTATATCAATACATTGAAGACGACTTTTATATTTTTAAGTTTTGATTCCTAACAAGCTTTTTTTAAGTTAGAAGTTTACAAGTAAACAAAGAGAAGCTGTTCATAAATTGAGTCTTTGCGACAAACTCAAAATTTACAATTCCTACATCTTTGCAACCAGATGGGGTAAATCTTTGATATTTCAAACTTAAGCTATTTGATTTAACTGAATTTTTAGTTTTAGATATCTATGGCCTTTGAAATATAAAGGGATTAGAAAATTTGAGTGTATGACAAAGAATCAATTCCTTTACAGCTTGTCACATAGATTCAGCCTCCTTATAAACAGTCTCATCAATTTTTAAGACAGGGCTGACTTTGAAGTGTCGCAACGCCCTAAGCTTAAATTTTACCGCTCTAACTCACTTATGCTTTTCTGTAGGCCTTTACATGTACATTTTAGCACTGTAAAGCACTTGTTGTTAGATGTGGTTTTTTAGAAGTTAATGGCAAAATTCTCAACGATTTTTGCTTGAGAGCGTGAGACCATTAAATCGCAGTGTGTAGTCAATAATTATGTGTATCCATAATGTTTGAAAGCTTGGTAGAAATCAAAAATTGAAATTGAAAGTCGTCTTTATTGTACTGATATATACGACGAGGACGGAATTTGTTTTATTCCAAGTTGGGGCGGGAAATCTTTGCTTTTAAGAAAACGTGATATAGAGAACTTTTGTAAACAAAACGTTTGAAACATAATTGAAAATATAACACACGATTGTGATTAATTTTAGATAATTTAGTTTCTAATTTTTGCCTATTTTAGTGGATTACCTTTATTAAACTAAAATGTACTGTTCGTATCAGATTTGTTATTTGAATTACGTCTAATGTTCCTCCACCAACTAGATTTGTGGAATAAGACTAAGTTTGTAGAATTCATTTAGTATAATTTTATCATGATAATTGTTACAAGATCTTCTAGAGAACTTGTAAAGTAAATACTAAGTTTGTCTTCATCTTGTTATCTTGTAGAGGCAACATTTTAATTAAAGGGAGTGACTGGTTAAGTATTGTTAGTGAACTAAGGGTGCGGTATTCTACATTAAAGTATCAGGAATCAATTATTAGCTAAAAGACGTTTTTTCGTTCTATTATCGCAATTCAAGGCTTCCAAAAGAAACAAAAAAAATTGATTTATTTTGGGAAAAGTAGTTTCAATTGTTATATTTTTGTAGTCATTTCAAAAGCCTTAAAAGTTTACTACATTTGCTGTGAGACACATAAACTTCAATATATTGGTATGACAGATAAATCTTTTGAAGCCAGGGTGAGATAATGTATCACAGAGATCCAGATAGACAGCTATGTAAACTATGTCTAGACTTTCAAGACGAGTATTTTTTTTTAAATTATCGTTTTTCATTTTTTTTCATTTTTTTTTATTTATTGTAAATCGTTTTGAAAGCTATTTAAAAAAATCCTAAGATTACACCCTACATTAGTTGCATAAAACGTGCTTGGTCGACTCTACCCTGGGTAGTCCAGACTGGGCAGTACGACGGACTACATATACAGTACGTATTGTACCGGTATCATGCAACCTTTAGAGAGGGGTGACGATAACCTTTGAATTGTCGCATCGCCTTTTTTGATTTTGCCTTACTATTTTCTTGCTCGGTTTATGTGTGATAGCGTGAACATATTGGTGCACTGCAAGGTTATAATGCAAGGAAAGTTAATTGCAGTTGCGTATACTCTGCATGCATGTTGAAACCAGTTCCCTCTGGCCGGAAATTGTAAACAATAACAGATTCATCAGTGTTCGTTTAGTATTCGTGGAGGATAAATGAATTTAATTTAGATAATTCTCATATTAGTTTCCTATGACCAGAAAATGTCATTGATTTTTTATGTGAAAGATGGATCCCATGTCAGACTTTGACATCCGTCTTGTGTTTACATTACCGCCCATTAGACAGTACACTGCAGTACAAAAGTTGCGTACACCTCTGAAATAACTTTCCTTGCATTATAACCCTGGTGCACTGTATGTCTGAGCTGTATTAGATATCTCTATACACAAAACAACCAGAAGCTAGGAGAACATTTAAATCTTCCCGAATCTTTTCGGTTTTTATATCAACTACTGAAGAGAGTCCATCTAGACAGAAATATATTTTCGAAAACAGTAAAGACAGGTATTTGCAGTAACAAAGTGCATAAAAAACACATTTTCATTTAAATCTAATGTTTGTTATTATTTGAATATTTCTGAAGAACCCTAATGTTTATTCCTATTTGAATGAAGCACTTGAAAGTAAAATTATAGACCTTTAAATGGAGAAACATCTAAAATAATATTCACATTACATTCGAGTCTACAATTTAAGTACTGCAACANCTCTGGAATTCCGATTGGATTCCGTATTTACCTTATTTCGGACATATCTTACGTAGCTTTTCCGAAACTGTGGAATTCCGATTAGATTCCGTATTTACCTTATTTCGGATATATCTTACGTAGCTTTACCGAAACTTTGGAATTCCGATTGGATTCCGTATTTATCTTATTTCGGATATATCTTACGTAGCTTTTCCGCAACTTTGGAATTCCGATTGGATTCCGTATCTATCTTATTTCGGATATATCTTACGCAGCCTTTCCGAAACTCTGGAATTCTTTCAAAACTTGGGAAAAGGGTTTGAAAAGAAGAGCTAATAATATTTTTATACATATACTCACTGTTTGGAACTTTTGGTGTAGAATATTGGAAATCTTGAATGCTTGAACTCTAAATCCAAAGTTAGCGCTTTTAAATTTGAGGATAAGTGCTTTATTCCTCAACTAAAGTTATCCCTGGAGGGTTTGACCATCGCGTAATATCGTGGCACAGTTTTTCTGCTTTTTATGTAAACACTGTAAAACGATCAACATTTTTTAAATGGCAAAAACGACACCAAAAAATGTTCAGAAAAAAATGGTGATACCCTAGATAACAAGAGTTGTAAAGGAACTAAGTTTTTGCCACAAACTCTTATTTTTTAATTCTTGTATCTTTGCAACCTGAAATCGTAAAAACCTTTAATATTTCAAAATATGAATTCTGTCAGATCTAATAGTCTAATTTTTATGTATCAACGGCTTACACCACAAGGCTGCAAAAAATATATGGATGGAAAATTCGAGTTTGTGGCATAATCTCGTTTGAAAAGGTCTATTGTATACTATATTCCTTCTCTATCATGGAATGATTCCTTGGTCTGTGGTGTATAACACTGTGAACTTTACAGAATAAGAA